TTAGAGAGATACACCGGGAATTCCCAAAACTATTCCTTGCGGTCATTTCAGCTTGCTGGAAACATCAGTACTTTCCTAAAAATATGAAGTTGGCAGAAGTGGCGTTATTCCTAAAATCAGGCAAAACTCCGGCAGAACCTACATCTTACAGGCCAGTCTGTCTACTGCCAGCGCTCGGTAAGGTATTGGAAAGAGTAATTCTTTACAGATTGGACTTCTTCCTGCAAAGGAACAACGCCCTGCATCCCAACCAATATGGATTCCGAATGGGCAACTCAACTGAACATGCCATAAAAGACTTAATGGCCACTATCAAACAGAACAAGGATAACAATTTGCACTCACTGGCAATAGCCATTGACATCAAGGGAGCCTTTGACTCCCTTTGGTGGCCAGACGTAATAAATTTGCTGCACAACATGGCCTGCCCAACAGCCATTATTACCATCCTTCGCTCGTACCTTCAAGATCGAAGTGTACAAGTAACATCAGACAGCGGCATTTATGTCAAAAATGTCTTTAGAGGATGCCCACAGGGGTCATGCCTTGGACCAACACTGTGGAATATAGTGGCAAACTCGGCATTTCGTCAGTTTGAGAGCGTAGAATACGCTCGAATCATAGCCTATGCGGACGATTTTATGCTAGTTGTGGCAGGAAGGAGTAACCTCGAAATGAGATCTCAATACTGTCTTGATCTGTTCTCCCAATGGGCCAGAGCACATAAGCTTCAGATTTCGGCAGAGAAAACTAAAGCTTTGCTCATAGGACGCAGCAGGCAGCTAAGACGCAACCCAAGCATTAAACTCCATGGGATACCGGTAAAATGTTTCCCCCAATTGAAATATCTTGGGCTATTACTCGACAACAGACTTTCTTGGATGCCACATGTCAGGAATCTTAAGACTCGAATTAGCATCCTAAGCAACAACATGAGACGCATGACTTCACATAAATGGGGTATCTCATCTAAGCTACTAAAAATTTGGCATAGAACCATTACAGAAAGAGTAATAACTTATGGAGCAGCAATCTGGGGTGGCGAACTTACCTCTCATATGAAAAGATCCCTGCTCTCTATTCAGAGACAGCAGCTACTTCAAGTATGCAGGGCCTACCGTACCACGTCAACACTAGCCCTACAACAACTAGCAGGAATTTCCTCCCCTAGATTTGATAGTAGAAAGGGAGGCAGCTATCGTAAGGGTTACCAGGCTGGGTCAAACTTCAACACTCTGGGGTCATAGTTATCACCACTCGGACTACGAGGAGCAAAACAACTGCAATAACTTTCATCCAGCAGCTTTTAATCTCTCTGACGGTATCAGTATAAACGACCAACCAATTCAGAGGTACAGTAATAACCTTTTCACAGATGGCTCCAAAACTGAGAACGGCACGGGCAGCGCCTTCTGTAGACTAGAAAATGGAGTTGTAACATTCGAGTGGAAAAGGAAATTAGGCTCGAACAACTCGGTATACCAAGCAGAGCTTCTAGCTATCAGTGCTGCAATTAGATATGCGAACACATGTCAACAGGAGAAATTCTCCATACTCAGTGATTCGGCATCAAGTCTGGCGGCTATCGCAAGTCAAAACAGCCGGAGTCCATTGGTATACAGAATTCAGAAACAGCTTCTGACAATGCCTATTTCGCAAAGACCCACTTTAAAATGGGTTCCCGCTCACACAGGGATTCAAGCAAGGCAATGAAGCCGCTGACCTACTGGCCAAGCAGGCAGCCAACTGCACGGATATATTAGAAAGACCAACTAAACTTCCTTGGTCTCATATTAAGCGAACAACTTTGACAAGTCTGCTACAAAATTGGCAAAGTAGATGGACAGAGGCAGAGGTAGGACGAAGGACATTTCGCTTACTGCCAAAAGTTAACATGGAAATAAACCCCCACTGTGCTAGCCTAACACAGTTCTTGACAGGTCATGGACCATTCCCAGTATACCTGAACAGATTCAGACTTAGGGATACTCCTTTCTGCGAATGCGGAGAGGAAGGCGACACGGACCATTATTACTTCCATTGTGTACATACAAGAACCTGGCACTTGAAGAAACCAGCGGACTGTGCCTGGGCAATGTGGACGACTAACACACTCAAAAACAGAATAGCCCTTGATAAAATAGAGAAAATCTCAGGACACTGCCTAAGCAGAAACAACCGTGGATAATATTATAATGTTTCAAAAGTTCAGAACTTAAAGCAGATAACCAGAATAACGCTTAGTGCCTTGCAGTAAACAATATGTAAAAACTGTTATTAGTTATAATATTCAACCTTGTTACTCTGGAGTCTTCCCCGCCGTGATGGTATATAATTCCGTTTGGTTCATGTCTGTGGTCGGAAGCCATCATAGCGGTGCACTCACTCACTGTATGGAATAAAATATTTTTGTCTCCAGTGTGTGAAACCATCTTCCGGAAATTCTAAAGATATGCTGTTTTTAAATAGTTTGTAGTTTTGCTGTTGAATTGAATTTTATATTGTGTAAGTATGAAGAACATAATATTTAATAAATAAAGTTAACACACAAAATGTTAATAACAGAAAGGGGGAATTTTCAAGCAAAAAACGGAATTTTGATATGATGAACTGAGAAAGGAGTGATAAAAACAGAAAAACTTATGCCAAGACTTATCACTGCATCGGGAATTTTAAATACATGCTGCTTTTAAAATTTTTGTAATGTTGTTATTGAATGGCATAAGTGCTAAGAAAATGGTGCATAAAGCTAGCAGAAGAGAGTGCAGCAGTAGCTTGGTAGACTACGAGCTCAGTGAGAGCGTAAAAAATCTTAAATCCTATTGGACAATCATTAAAAATTTGAGCTCTTTCAAATTTTTTTTTTTAATGAAGTCTAGGAAATGATTATATAGTAGGGGTAAAATGCAGGTATGCTTTTGAAAATTTCTCGGATAGATTCCTAAGAGAATCTTAAAGAGAAACAGGAAAAGAGAGGCACACTTTCCTCTGAAAAAATTATGAAAATATTATTTGATCGACTGAAGAAGGAAGTTCAGCAGGAGAGAGACATGGACATTCGAGTTTGGAGGGCATGGCTTCCAGAAAGAATGATCTGCACATAATCTTGAGAACCAACCAGAAATCTTGGATTACTGTTTAGTAAGCAGCAGTATAGAATTGAGGAAAATATTTGCAGTAATAAGATGGTGAGTCCAGCTTTGTAGGTAAAGTCCAATATTAAAATAATTACTCGTGTATTTTGAACATATGGAATGTCATCAGGTGGTGGCACTTGTTTAGCAGATATACATTTCACTTTTGCTTCCTAAGGAATTGCGATATTCATTGACATTAGCCACAACCACATTTTCGTGCCATTGAATGTTTATGTAGTGGGATAATTTTTCAATCTGACCTAAAGAATAAGTGAAGTACCGAAACATAGTTGTTTGAAGTGGGGTCTTGCTTGCTTTCTTTTGTTGGCAGAATAACACTGAAGTGAATAATAATTAGATTGATTCCAAAGAACGTAATGTCAGTTAGCTTTGAAAGTTGCACTATTACTTTTTGTAAGTTATTATATTATTACAGGTATTGTATCAAAATTAAAGTTTAAATTTTCCTTTATGCCAAAAGGTATGTTTCTGATTTTGCAGATGTAGCAGGATTTGAAAAGCCAAAGCATATTTGATACTTTTCTTTATGTGTTGATTCAATTTGGGATTAAGAAAGTGTGATTTCAAAATTTGGAATAACAATAACCTTATTTTGATGTAGGTTTTGAATGCTATAGAAACTGATATTTCCCAGTTAATGCAGTTTATGAGAAAATGTTGAGAAGTGGTAAAGATGATATTAAAGAAGTTTTCCAATCAACAGTCGACTAAAGAATGTGGAGACCTGTCATGTGGTTTTAAATCCAGAAAATATCATCACTGATAATTAAGAAAGTGAAAAAGAAGTTGGGGAATGAAAAGGTTTCTACTGATTCAGGACTTGAACAGTAATTTTGTAACTGAGCAGGAAAATATGCCCATCTCTAAAATAAATAAATAAATATATAAAATAAAATAGAAATTAAATAAAAAGCAAAACAGCATAAACAACTACATTTAAAGAAAGATTTAGTAAATAAACAAGTAAATATTGACTTTTTTCTGTTAAAGTTTGATTTCTTTAAGATTACAAATGCTTCATTATTTCATAAATAACTGTATTTTATTTTTAATTTTAAAATTTCTACATTTTATCTCTTATGATCTAAAATTCAAAAATTCCAAGATCCACAATTGCTGAAGTCCCACTGAGTCCTGAGGGATTTTGTAGTCTATTGAAAGTCTCCGTTTATTTCAAGGATTTAGCTCTGTTTAATTATCTTGAGTTTTGATTCCAAGTTGCTCAGTATTTGAATAAGAATTTTCTATACCTTATTTTAAATGACTGAAATATTCTAATGTTATTGAGGGTATAATTTGAGGCTTTGTTTGATTGGGGATAAACAGCAGTTTTACTCAGTGCTTAAAATTCCCATTTCTCGCATATAGTTCAGATAAATTCCGTTGACCTAACGTCTCGTATCCCCTTGGCCGAGAAGCATCCCACTTAAGAGATTGCTCTAGGGTGGGAAAGATGATGCTCTAGATCTGTTAAAAAAAAAAAAATAAATAAATAAATAAAGAATTCTGAATTGGAAGCTTATGTAACTTTTCAACATTTTATTAAATTAGGATTAAATTCTTGTTAAATGTGTGTATTTTTGATTGAAATGTAATTGTATCTGTAATTTTGTTGTTCTAGTTTGTATATATTATGTTTACAACTTTACCTATTTTAATATGCATATATTTAGTAGTTATTGAAAATATCTCTTATCATTTTTAATGTATAACATAGTCTAGTTAATCATTGTTTTGTTATAATTATTAGTTATAAAGATGATAATAAATGCATATGTGCATTAAAGATACTGAATTTCATAACTTTTTTCAACCTTTCATAAATATGTTTATGTATTACAGGTTTCATCATCATTAACTGGAGATGATCTGGCATGTAAGTTTGAAGTAACTTGTTTTTTGTGATGAGTATGATATGCTTTTAGATTTGTTTTGATCTCTTTGTAGTGTAATAACAATCAGCATGGAAAGTATTATCCACAGTGATCCTCTTCCCTACCTCTGAAAATGACCAGTTCTCATGAAAAAATTAAGGCTTTGCATCGATAATTATAATAACCTTTTTTAAGACAATCATCATCTTTCTTCATTGAGATTATTAAGTATGCAATACAGCAAGCACCAAAATATTCTGATTTTGCTGTCCAATTTGAGTCATTTATGTGCTGTATAAATTAGAGTGGTTACTTTTCCAGTTCCAGAAGCAAAATTATTTTTATGAAACGAGGTAGTTAATCGGTAGTTAATGTGGATTGTTTGCTGATGTATTTAATTGTATGCTGTAAGGTATAGATAGGTTATCTTTTTAGTGTCATATAATTTATCACATAGACTTGCTTCAGATTGTGATTTAGTTATAGTAAATCAAAGTTGAAATAGTGTCAGAAGCAAATCATCTTTATTTCTGATATTATTGTAATAGATGAGGTTGATTTCAAACCTGACAGCACAGCGTGTCTTCTTTTAAATTAAGTCTGTGTGGGGGTCGTTTCAGATAGAGTCATAGAAGAGTCCTGTATAGTGTAACAAGTATTTATTAACAGGTTTAAGTTACACACGGACATTACATTTAACTTTAAGAAAAATTACAGAGCAAGAGTCTGATACAACCTATCAAGTGGGACGCTTGGCTTTTACTGAAGTATTTCTCTGCCTACTTACCAAAGGGAGCCTTGTTGTCATAGTTAGTCCAACAGTTTATGTTAAGGGATTGGTTACAAGTCTTAATTGATCAAGTTTAGATTAAATGTTTGTAAATCAAAAAATAAAAGTTTAAAAACATAACTAAAAATTACTTAAGGTATTGCTGGCAGTTTGCCTCAAAGGGAATTAGCAGACTTCAGTAAATGGATATTTAAAAAAAAAAAAAAGTAATGAATTTATGGAATTATTAAACAAAATTTACAACATGAAGTTTTATTTGACCGTGCTTTTATTTTACATGAATGATTTTGTTTCTATATTTTAAAATATTATTTATGAGGCCATTTTAGCAAATTTGGTTAAACATGATTTGCTATTTATTTACTTTGTAATTAATTCATATTTTATTAATATAATGGCATTAATAAACCAATATATCACTCTTCTATTTCAGCAAATATTAAGACACTCAAATAGGGTAAATTTGTTATAGAAACTGATAATCGTCATCTAAGATTATTGCCTTATTCAAGATGACTACCTCCACAGAAGACTAAAATTTTTTGAATCATGAGCGCTCATTTCATGGAGGGTTTATTATATATTTATATGTATACATATTCATATTTGTCAACTTTTACGTGCTGTGTTTAAAATGTGTGCATGCTTAAAAGCTTTTACAAATTTGCAAGTGAATAGTAATTTTTATATTGTTCATGCTTTTAATATTTATTTTTTAAATTAAGTAAGGAAATTTAAAATTATTATCTAATTAGTTTTGTGTCTTGAAATTAAAATTAATCATCTGTGTGAATGATCGCTTTTTGATAACAAAATTTACTGTTGATGTGAGTTATAATCTGAGGAAAATCAGGAAATTTGTAAATACTATTTTAAAGTTTCTAAGCTTCAGCATGCATTGTTTGATACACGTTTATGTCAGTCCTATCAAGATATATTTTTTAGATCTCATCCCTTTGCTTTCATCTCATAATTCAAATATGGAAATTTATAATAAGTATAGGCATTGTATTCTAAATATACTGCAAACAAATTTATATATTTGGACTTTATATTACTTACATTACATGTCATAAATGACATTATTTTATGTTATGTTTATTAGATGCATTGTAATTTTATAATTATTATAGATGAATTATTAATAATTTATATAAATTACAAATTGTGTATTTTTATTTTTCTGTAGTAACTAATGATCCATCAGCACGGAAAAATTTACCACAGAGAGTAAGGAAACCGAATTCAAAGTATTCCTCAGATACTGTTATTTGTCCAATGAAAATGTTTTCAAACACACATGATACAACTGCTGTAGTTCAATCCAAATCACCACCCCAAGTCAAAGAAACACAGCCTGTAATTCCAGCTATAGGCAAGGAAATTAGTTCAACAGTTAGCCCAAAAAAGCGAGGAAGGCCAAGAAAAGTGATTGCAAATGATTTGCAGCAAAAAACTCCATTGGCTTCTGAAAATGCAAATGGAATGCTTCAAACAAAACAAGTGACATCACAATCTGCATCTTCAACATCAAACATGTAAGTATTTTGTGTCAATGCAATTTATAGTTATTCATACCACAGACCTAAAGTTAACAGAGTAAATTTGATTTGCTAAAAATTAATATTATATGGAATAATGAGTAGCAAACTAGAATTCTTGTTTTAAAATTCATATATTATTTAGAAGATTTTAGCATCATTAGTCTAGAAAAGGGATTTTACACCACCGATTATAAACAACTGTATCACTTCTCAAACTGTTGCCACCAAATATGATAGCGTAGTATTATTTTTAAAGAAATTAAATGATGAAGAACCTGCATGTATGTATGAGTGTTTCTTTCATTGTGAAAAAATTACATTATCTAGAACCATCAAATTCTTGAATAACATAGTTCTCCGCCTGTACATGTGCACCTAAAAATCCGAATTTTGAATTTTATAGTTCATATTTTGTAAAACTTTAACCCTTTAATGCCCACCACAAGAAATTTCCAAAAACAAAAAATTATTTGTTAGTTAAAAGAGTGTTATTTTAGGTCAAATAAAACAAATATGGTGAAAATTGTAAAAAAAATATTTCTTAATGTTTTTTAATGGTAGCAAATATGCTACCATGGACAGATTAGGGTACAAATCAAATGATTTTCAAACACATTTTTTTAAGATTTCGTTTAGTTTATGTACAGTTATTTACAAATGATAAGCTCTAAAACAGTTTCTGTCCTTTTTAAAACAAAGATATTTTTCACATTTGTCACATTTAACTTGAGTAAATATTCCTCCAGGGCATATGTGGCATCTTTGCCATATGGAATTATTACACTGGCCAGTGATGCACACCATCTGTTCTTTGATCCTAAAAGTAATAAATAATTGAAAAACAAATATTTAAGGTTACACTATTTATATTTACAGCTATGATATCTGCGTTCTTTACAGATGCTACAGAATAATCGATGGATCCTCTGCCTTCTTCTTTCAATACCTTCTTATTCTTTAATTTACATTTCATTAGTTTGTTTTCTCTCAAAGTCCCTACAAATCATATATTTTTCTTGGATAATTCACATACTAATGGGATACCAGAGAAAACGTTATCTGCAAAGATAGTAGTTTTTGTTTGGTTATTTAGAGTGCTACAGAACTGCATCACAACACCTGCTTCTGTGTAGGCAGTTTGATCTCAATAGTAACCTTCAGATTTTTCAGTGTAAACATCAAAATCGTAACAAATGTCTGATTGTCCACACCGGGCACACATTTTTAAACCCTGTTTGCTATGAGGTTTTTTTTAGGCATATATTGTTTGATATGGATTGTCCCACCAAATGGAATCATTATTTCATCAATAGACTGCTTGGTCTCATCTGGAATGGATAGCATATTTTCTCTAAGTCTAGGCAACCGGGGTTGCACTTTCCAGCATTTGTCACTTCTAACATCATCATCATTTTGTGAATTATCCGCAATATTCAAAAATCTTAAGATTTTTTCAGATCTGTTTCTAGACATTACTTCTTCAATTGGTTCATACTTTTATTCCCTCTTCTCAATATCCTCTAATATGAGGTATACGGACTAATCCCATTCTGATAATCATTCCTGTTACTTGCTCTATTTCATTTGCCATCACCATAAGAGAAGTTCATGTTTGTTGAACACTATACAGATTTGTTTGTTCAACTACTAATTTTATCATGTTTGTTGTTGATATTACAATCTGAAAATATACAAGAGCAGATGGAAGAAGTTCTGTAGGATCAGGAAATTTATCATCATTTGATGAAAGCATAAGATTAGGTTCTTTTTACCTCCAGATAATTTTAAATTTTTATAGCTTTTACACTGATAGACACTTTCCTCAATATTTTATGCATTTTGGTCATTTTCTACATCTTCATTATGATCTTGGTCTTCATCATCTGAGCTTCCTTCATGGAAGATATCAGATGTTTGTGTAGGCATATATTCATCATCAGATATATCGGATAAATCACTTTCCAAATCATTCATATATGGTATGACATCTTCTAGTTTTTTAAAGACATTTCTTCCTCTTACTCTGTGGAAAAAGGAACCTGAAATGCATGGCTGAAAAAAAAATGCAAAATTTTATTCAAAATTCTGAAAATATATTAAATTATTATTTAATTATTTTTTAAAATTTCATTCATTAAATAAAGTAAAAAAACTTGAGATTTAATAGAGGATTAAATTTATTTTTCAACTTAGATCTCAAGATGAATTTTCCTAGAGACTTTTTTACAGGAAAAAATATATCTTAAAATATTTTTTAAATTGAAAAATATCAAAATTTAAACTAATAATAAAATTTAAATCCATAAATTGTATTTAAGAATATATTATCTGTAAAATTACAAAGATTTAAGATCATGAATTAATTTCAATGTAAAAAAACATATTTTCTTGAGAGAACTGCTAGGCTTAGATGCACGGATGCTCTGCTACCATGATTTTAAAAATACATTTTAGCATTAAAAATGATAATTTTGTAAAAGTTATTTTATACTGTGTGATACACTAACTCTTTTACTTTATATAAATAGTAATTATTAACTGTTTCATTAATAAAATGTTTGTAAAATAAACAAACAACTTCTGTCTGAAAAGGTGCTTGCATTGTTTGCTGCATCCATGCTTCTAATTTTTTTTCCTTTAAGCTGGTGCTGCTATCTATGACTAAAATTTGCTAATAATAGATGAGAAAGGTTCAATCTATAAATTTATGACATAAAAATTACATTTCATGGCGTTCCTGGTACAAAAATGTGGCGTTTAATATATGGTAAGCAAATATGCTACCACAGACATTAGAGGGTTAATCAGTTTTTGATTAACCCTCTAAGTAGGAAGAATTAGAATATTTTTTGTGATATCTGTAAGAATGTATATATACGTGCATATTAAAATATGCCAAAGAAATTAAGGCAATATATCAAAAGAAAACAAATCCAGGTGTGAAATACCAGGAGAGTTTTTAGAATAAAATCAAAAAAAAAAAAAAAAAAAAAATTGTTTTCATAGTAGTTTTGGAAAATTAGTGTTTTTTTATTGAAAACCCTGGCCGCTCAGAGGGTTAACAAACTCAATGATTTGAAAGCAAACATTGGCAACATCATACAGAATAAAACATTTTTTAGCTCCAGTTCTGGAGAGTCCATAGTAGAAATTCTAAGATATGCTGTTTTTAAATAGTTTGTGATTTTGCAGTTGAAATGTATATGGTGAAAGTATGAAGAAAATTATGTTTAATAGTAAAGCTAGAAAACAAAAAGAAATGGGTTAGCAGAAGTGAATGCAACACTAAACTGGTAGACTGCAACCTCAGAAAGAGTATAAAAAACCTTACTAAGTAATTTTGGGTGATAGTTAAAATCTGAACCTTTTCATTAAAAAAAAAATATTGATTTATTATCTGTTTTAATTTTTTTTCATATTAAAACAAAGTACAATAGTTATATCTGCTCTTGTTTTTTATGCATTTTTGCACTGAAATTACAGCATTTTTGCTTTGTTCAGAAATATTTTTATTGAAGTAGATATCTTGCTATAAAAATGTAATTATAAGTTTATAGACCAAAACCTCACTATAGTGAATGAATGCAGGGCATAGTTGATAACAGAATTTGCTTTGCTAATATGTTGTGCTGTTCAGAAAGCATTCTCTGGTGGAGAGGGAATTTTTCTCATTAAATATTTAATTGAATTGTGCGTTGAGCATTTTTATCCAATACCTTTTGCCATCGTCTTTCTGGTAGTAGCATGATTTCAGCATGCTCATAAAAATTCTCATCTTTACATACAAAAAACTGATCTGAGTGATTTTTGACTTCTTGATTTGAAGTAAATATCTTATCATTGAAAGCATTTTGTAAAATGTGGACCAGTTAATAATCTGTGGAAGCGAGATCTGATAAATATGGTGGGTCTGGTAAGTCCATGTTTCTGAATCTGCAACAGCTTCTGACAAGTTATCAAACTTGTGTGAGGTCTGGCATTGTCATGCTAAAGTACTACTTTTTATCTGCTGATCATTTCTGGGCTCAGTTTGTCATTTGCACCTTTTCTTTGCTAATTTATCCAGTATACTTTGGAATCACTAGTTAAAATTGTGTGATAGAAGCTCTCTCTCTCTTTTTTTTAATATGATGATTAGTGTTCAAAGTGCTTTGAACTGGCATATTTCTTCTATTCCATGATTGTTTACATTCAACATTGCTGTAAACAATCCATTCCTCATAGTTAATTATGATTCACTTCAAAATTGGATCGTTTTCTTGACATTTGAGATGCAACTCACATATGTCAATGTGAGAGTAAGTCTCTTTCTTAAAAAAAAAAGTAGAACCCATATATCAAGCTTTAGCATGAAAATATTTCATGTTATGAAAAATAGTAGAATTCAACAAATTTGATCTCTTAGCAAATTCTCGTGTTGTTATTCAGGGTTTACTTCAGTCATTACCCTCATTTTGTCTTTTTTATCTTTACATACCTTCTAGAACATGGAGAGGGATGAAATTTTACTATCCAGTTTTGACACTTGTTTTTTGCCAGCAGATCTTCTCCATACATGGTTTTTTTCTTGCTTGAACAACATTTTTTTTTTTTTTTTTTTTTTTTTTTTTTTTTTTTTGTTTGTGTGTGTGTGTGTGTGTGTGTTGGTGGTAATTAAAAAGCAAAATATGGCAAAACTGCTGTTTCTAAATTTTCCGTACATTATGGGACACAGCCAAAAAATATTTGCACAGAATAATTTTTTTTTACAAACAAGCCTTGAAATGTCAGCTGTTAAAATATATAATAAAAGTAGACTTTAGAATGAAGTTAGCTAGTTAAAAATGTGGCTAATCAGAGGTTGGTAGAGCATTTTGTGAAGACTTAAATAATATTGAATGGAATATGAATATAAACATGTATATTTAGTTTCACTTTTAATTTGTAAATGGTACATTATTAATTTCATTTTCGAGATTATATGCTCATTAATTATAAATTTTATTTTCATCATG